TTTATGTATTATGGATGTAATAATTTTTTTTTGGAGGTGCGTCTAAGGGAATAGGATTGAAATATTAGGTTTCATGCTTGATTGAGACCGTCCTAGTTGACCGACGTCTGCTCTACACATAGGAGATCAACGCCCTAGGAACGGACAACGTTCGGGCTCGTTTGGCGTTAACCAAGCGTATCTATATTACAGCGAACGAGCAAACGCCCTCAGCTGACCTACCTTTGCAATTGCATCTAAAACTTTTCGCACGTGGGCCAGTAGCTCGGTAGGGATACGTCCCTAAAGGTGGTGACAGCCCCTCAGGGAAGGAAAGTTTATGCCCCGCGGGAACCTATCATGTCGTAGGGGACCGTGAGATGTATAGCTGGCGCACCCGGCTAGAGCGGCGAAGGAGCGACAAGACCGCGACCGTCTTGGCGGCTCACGGGGTTTTTAAGTATCATTCCCAAGTTGTCTCTATATTGCTTTCGTTTTACTCCTGCATGACATGAGCGGGAGGGCTCCCGCGCCTTGCAAAAAGGCGGGAGCCAATGCACTCGACAACGTGACTCTATCCTGTTGTAGGGGTTCGAGAGAGGTATGAGAGAGGTATGGCTTGCACACTCGGTCAGAGCGGTAACGGAAACTCCATTGGCACCGCGATAAGAGAGAGGATAAATTCTTACCACAAATGATGCGTGACGCAGCCAGGAAGGTCCCCAATTAGGACAGGTACACCCGACACCAATTCATTTCACGATTTTATTTTTCTGAATTTTTTAAATTTTTTTCTTAAGAGATTACAACCTAATCGACACAATCTCAAATTCTCATATTTTTATTTGCATTTTTCAGAGTTCGAAAAAACGAAAAAGTTGAAACTTTAAAATTGTAGGATTGAACATTTTGGCGTCTGCCGATCGCCGCCCCCTCATGAGACTTGCTTTATATGAATAGGAAAGTTAATTTTTTGACATAAGAGGGAGTGGGTGACGATGGTGAAACCTCCGACTAAAAATATCATGATAAAGCGTGTAATGTTATTGGATTATATCCGATGACACCTCTATAAGTAGGACTGCGAGCAACTGTTAATAATTTTTTGTAAAGAAGTTATGTGTTATTCTACGAAGGTTCATGCAATCTTTTATATTATCGAGAAATGTGTTTTGGTCCATGCCAACATTAAAATATTATCCTACGAGGAAACAAAACTTCAATAATAATAAAAAAAACGAAAGAGACAAATAATTATCAACAAAATTAATCATTGGGATGTACGTAATTCATGCTCCTCCTTGCATGCTTAATTCGTGCACTACCCTATAGTGCGAGTAACTCCCCAATCGCGCGTTATCCATTTAAACGTTTGATCCCAACTTTTACCTCTTTTTAATTTCACCCGCCTAAAATTTTCATTTTTTTTCCGTTCTCTTCCTCACTTCTCATTCTTTTATTTTAATGTTATTGAAACAATATCCCATGACTAATCCAAGGTAGGTTAAGTGTTGCCTACTGGAGTCATAAACAAATGATTACGGATGCTCTATATATTGCCTAAATAGCGAGGTAGGCATTCATCTCTACCCAATATGTCATCCATGGATAGTAATTTTTCAGCTGATACCAATTATTTCCCTATCTCCTTGATTTTCTGCAGATTACAACAGTGACTAATTAAGATTGATCCGACAACAATATCATCGATAAAGTGTTTATTTATTTCGTTCTTCTTCCCTTACTTTTTATCATATCCTTATGAATGGTTATGATTTGCACGTAAGGCATTCAAAAAATAATTAATCAACCTCTACGTAACGAAAGTTATAATTCGGGCTAATTAGCAAAAACATGAAGAATATGCATGAAAGCAACAGGTGCGGTGACCTCATTTTCTAACAACCTCCCAACATGTTTGTCCCTCGTCCTGAAAGAAACAAATGAGGGTCGACAACCGCGAGAAGGGCCATCAGGGTGATAATGCAGACCCTTAGGTTGTGATTGAGCCTTATGCCTAGTTCAAAAATATCCAAATCCGTTTCACGACCATCGACAATCCTCCAAAAAATTAAGCTTTTCATGTGGAGGAGCCACGATTGTCACCTCGTTAGTCAATCAACAAATGAATGAAAAGTTTCATAGGGAAGCAGTCGATCGATAACCTTATACATCAAGCCACTAGAAGGCTAAAGGTCCAAGATACATCATTTGCGATGAGCTTCTTGAACTCTTGAGTTATCCTGTATCAGTTCAACAACCATTCGAACTCACTACCAGAGAGATCAATCACATTCTTGCAATGCTTAACTGAGAGAAAAACAAGCGTAAATGATTCAGTTAGCGACCACTTTGGAAAAACTTTCTTTCATACTTCTACATTTATCACGCAAAATAAAAAAAAAATCTCGTTCTGACTGAGAATTCGCATAAGGCATTTATGGCTAGGAAGTTCATTAGCGCATCCAATCCCTGCAGATAGTTATGCTTTTCTAATCTGTTCCTACAAACCTTTATTTTCTTGAAACTGAAATTTTATAATAAGTTAGCCTTATAAAGTCATACCAAAATGTTAACCAACTTATAAAAGATGAAGAATATACTCAAAGCATCATCCATGACTATGAGTGGCATAGTGGCGGCTCAAAGCATCATCAATGACTACGGGTGACATAGTGGCGGCTCTATCAGATCCAAGTCACACAAGACCTTTCAAACCTCATCGTATAAGGTCTTCTCATGTGTAGTGATTTGAGGTGACATTTGAACATAACCTGTCTGTGGAGTTCTAACATTGTGTTGAATGTTAATTCCCTACTTTGAAAGAAAGTTCATGACCCTTCCTTAAATGATTGGCGACCCTCTTCCTTCAGCATGATCGATCCACAAAGTTTAAATTAAATGAATCTGATAATACTCGATGTGTCATAAAATACTTTCTTAAAACGGTCGGCTCACAACCCCACCTAATAATTTTTTTCCTTTCGACCATTCTTCCCTGTTTTTTCCCTTTTCCCATCCTTTCCTCTCTCCTCTTCCCTTTCCCCTCCCTCTTTTTATTTTGTCGTCCTGTCTCGGTTTGACCGTCTCCTCCTCGCGATTTACCCGCCTAATCCCTTCCCCTGAAACAACACCTTGCTTTCAACTCCTTCCTATAATTCATCATGTATTTAACTGATAAAGGTAAATTGCCGCTTTGGTACTAAATATTAACCAAATACTATTAGGTAGTACTTCCCTTGGTCAAGACTCATCATATCTTTATTCCTATTTCACAAATTTAAACTCAAGTGTAGTCTCGTAATATTATATTACCTTTCAAGCCTTGGTCATCGGACTATTTGAGCTTCCTTAGCATGCTGCCTCAATCGTTGAGTCGTAATAATCTAAGAAGTCTGACTAAGAAATCAGCAAACCTTAAGCCACTCCCAGTTTTTTTTGCAAATTTGTTTTTTAAGCAAACCAAAGCAAAATATTCAAACAAACTACCATTTTGCATACTCAAGTCATCTCATAACTTATAAGAGTAAAATTGAGACCCATATAAAACTGAATTTTCTACTAGCATTTACTAGGGCAAATTCCGAGTAATTTCATTCCCCTTACCTGCAACGAGTTGCGACTATTACAATTACGTAGCCCAATGTCGAATAATAAACAATTAGTATGTTTTCCCAATACTATTCATAAAATAGTAGCTATGATCCAATTCATTTTTTTTTTTAGGGTGCAGCAACCATTCTGTTCTCCCTTCACCAATAATCATTCGCAATTGAGTTAGTCACCTATTCTGTATTCAGTTCCCTTTTTAGGGAAGCTACTAAGCTTCATCTGACTTAGTCCAATTTCATGCCTTGCTTCGTCTGTCATCGGAAATGTTTTACTTGTGAGGATGTTCCCATTTTGCTCGCTTCAGTTCGTCACCATCCTTGCCATCAGACCCTTACCCAGCTTGTGAAATCGCCTGGTACGTCAATTCATAACCTTATCGTCGTCATCCCAAGCAACATGAAGTAAGACACTTTACCCAGGAAGCAGAAACGACAAGCATTCATCCTCCATAGCTATGTTTATAAAACTTGCCTTCGCCCGTCTATCCCGAAGTGTTATGAAGAACTTGCCTCGAATAGCAGAAAATCAACCAACCCTTGATAACGTTAAGCTCGCATCGCGGAACGAAAAGAATCTCACTAAACTCACTGGCTTTTCCCCTTGCGCAAGATCACTCACAGAGTCTCCGTCGCTGTGCCGCTTTGAGGGAGTCAGCTAGAAATGTGCATCCGTCTATTTGGGGAATTTGCCACAAATAGCAAAGCCCAGGCCTAGCTCAGTTGGTTAGGCATGCAAGTGGCATTCAGGAGGTTGTGGGTTCAAGCCCCATGGCCGCCTGCGGCGCACTTAGTGCCAACGGACTGTGATAGTCCTCTGGATACCCCTGATCGSTATTASHVVGGTCTATGACCAACACGGGTGTGAGTGTGAGCGCGAGTGGGTTGTGTGTGGTGTGTGGGAGAGTGTTGGCCATAGCCTCTGCTGCTACTCGATGAAGGGTGGGGTACGATGAGAAAGGGAGGCACAACTACTGGCAGGTCTCGGTCTTTGTGTTAGCCAGACCCCCACTGGCGGCCCCAACCCTATACCCTAACCATTAGGGGCAAGGGGCAACATGAAATCTCCCCTTCACAGAGAGAGGAAAACTATGCTTGCAGGGGTCCCCTCTAGATAGTCTTAGGAGTCCGTAGTGGAAGGTAAAGAAACAGAAGTTGAGAGAAGAATATAGAAAGTAATGGGTGGGAGTGGTCCAGCCGTGACCTCGGAGTTGGCCCTCCTACTTTCGCAAGGGATGGACCGTCGGTAAGTTTCTTACCTGTGCAGCTTGCCTTGGACTTTAGGAAAGGACATTTTCCCTCCCCAAAGACCTGGACCAATAGGTATTCTTTCAGGAGGTGCTCAAAAGTGCATATTTTCCCTCCAAAAGGCAGGGCCAACGAGGGGCCCGAGACGTCTGAAGACCCGTGAAGTGGAGGTAGCGGGTGACAGACGCTCCCCTCCTGGCTTCGAGAGTTCATCCGGAGTCTACCCTCCGCGGGTTTCCTCAGACCTGCAGGCCGCTCTGGGCCATCGCCATCGCCATCGCCGGCAACTGCAGTTGTGGGTTGCCTCCATCGCCAACGTCGTGGTGGCCATCGTCGAAGGTGAGAGAGAGAGAGAGAGAGCTCCCCATCCTGCGCCTCCTTGTCGTCGTCCTTCTCCTCCCCCCGTTGCCCCATCACGACGTTGGTCGTCGTGGCCATCGTTGGAGCTAAGTATGAGAGAGAGTGCTCCCGTGCTCTGCCTCCTTATCATCGTCGTCGTCGTCCTCCTCCTCCCCCCATCTTGGCTGTCCTCCTCCTCACGCGCGCCCTTTTTTCTTCTCCCGTTCCCTCTCCTCCTCCTCCTACTCGCCGTCCTCATACCTGTCGTGCGTGCCACGTGGCATGCCTTTTTTTTGTTTTAAACTCTCCTCCTCGTCAAAGTCTTTCCTCCTGCGTCTCCTCCTCCTTCTCGTCGTCCTTCTCCTCCTGGTCGTCTTCCTCCTCCTCGTGATCTCACTCCTCCTTCTCCTTCACTTCCTCGTCATCTCGCTCCACGTTCTCGTCCTCCCTCTCCTCGTCTTCCTCCCCTGACCCGATCTTCCTCATCTCGCTACAGCTCCTCGTCCTCCCTCCCCTGTCTTGATCTTTACCCTCCTCCTCCCCCCATATTAGTCGTCGTCCTCCTCATGTGCAATTTTTGTTTTTCTCCCCTTCCATCGTCGTCCTCCTCCTGATCTCATTCCCCCTCCGTCTCCTTCACTTCCTCATCACCTCGCTCCTCCTCCTCATATTCCCTGTCCTCCTCGTCTTTCTCTCCTATCCCGATCTTCATCCTCATCTCGCTCCACCTCCTCGTCTTCCTCCCCTGTCCTGATCTTTCTCCTCCTCCGCCTGCCCCCATCTTGGTCCTCCTCACGCGTGCTTTTTTTTTTTTTTTTTACCTCCCCTTCCTCGTCCTCCTTCTCGTCGTTCTCATTCCTGTCGTGCGTGCCACGCGGCACTTTTCTTTGTTTGTCAACTCTTATCGTCGACGTCTTTCCTCCTCCTCCTCCTCCTCCTCCTCCTCCTCCTCGTCCAGATCTCACTCCTCCTTTATTTCCTCATCATCTCGCTCCTCCTGGTCTTCCCTGGCCTCTTCCTCTTCCTCCCCTGTCCTGATCTTCCTCACCTTGCTCCACCTCCTCGTCTTCCTCCTCCTGATCTCTGATCTTTCTGCTTCTCCTCCTCCGCTCCTCGTCATCCTCACTGTTTTATGCCGTTATCCCCCCCCCGTTCGTCCTAGTCCTCGCATGCCACATGGCGCGCTTTGTCATCCTCCTCATCTCGCTCCTCGTTTCTCTTCACCTCCTCCTAAGGTCGCTCTGAGTCGCTCATCTTCCTCTTCCTCTCCCTGCGCATCGTCGTCGTCCTCCCCCCCATCTTGGTCGTGGAGGCGAAGTTTTATAGGACTGGCAATTTTTGTGATCGTCGTAGGCTGTGGGCTAATGTGCGGTTTGCACGTTGCGAGTCGAAAGTTGGCCACGTGGCAGATGACTTTAAGGGCTGTTGTTGTCGATTTCTGAGGATTGGGGTGGGATAACAACCAACATGAGGCTTGACCAAATGCGCCTGGCCCCCTTGGTAGCCTCGTCCTTTTTGGGGAGAAGATGGGATTCAGCGCAAGGATCGGGAAATGGTTAAAACTCCTAAAAAATCATAAAATAGGAACGAAAATGGGGAATAATTATGACCAACCTGGAAGGTGCTGACCAGTTTGGTCCTATTTTGGGTCCCATTTGTATCCCACAACGATGGGACCAGAAATGAGGCGAATGGTCCCATTTGTATCCCACAACAGTGGGACCAGAAAGGAGTCGAATGCGCTCACCAGTTTACGCCTCTTTCAGAATTAAGAACCGGAAGTGCGTGAATGATGGTCGTGCCGGAACTTCCAGGTCTGTAGGTGCTGCTTTTGTTTCTCGTTTCTAAAATGAGTTTTTTTTAACATTCCCGAGTACACAAGGGCCATTAGCTTTTTTTTTTTTTTTTTTTTTTTTTTTTTAAGCTGTGGTTTTTGCCTATTATGGTAATAGAAGGCCCTCTGCAGCTATTTCCGGGGAAATTTGTGGGATTAAAAAAAAATAAAAAAATCGTCGTACAACCCCGCCGTCTTCCCCCGAACACAACGGACCCTCATAATGAATGTATACGAGCTATATTTCCAGCCCGATACCGTCATTATGAGAGTGCGTTCTATTTGGGGGAAGACGGTAGTTGATGGCTGGCTGGCAGGCCCAAGTGGACTTTGTGCAATGGATTCCATGGCTATGGTATGGATCTAACATCGTTTCTGAGTTATTGGACAATTCTTCGTGGGGGGGGGTGCAGGAAGGGTAAAACCTTAAAAGTATGTTTAAGTTAATGCGGGGGGCAGGAAATTTTGCAGTACACGAGTTGACATTCCAGTCTGCGTTTGCTGCTTGTCTTGTTTTTCTTTTCGCTTTTTAATGGCGTATGATGAAGGCAGGCCTTTCTGCTTCGGCCTCGGCAGGTGGAGGGGGGGAAAAGAGAGAAGGGCGAAGAGGTGGTCGTTCGAGATGGCGAGGGGTGGGAGGTTCTCTGCGGCGGCGGTCTGTGTGATTGGCGTGGCCATCGTCTGCCTTCTAGGCGCCCCTTCTTTTGTGCGCTGCTCCAATGACGACGAGGGCTCTGATGTGCTTGTATTGACTCCCGAAACGTTCGATGAAGTCGTGGGTAAGGATCAACACGTGTTCGTGAAGTTCTACGCCCCCTGGTGCGGGCACTGCAAGAGGTTGGCCCCTGACTGGGACATGCTGGGTACCGCATTCAAGAAGGTGGGCTCCGTGGCTATAGCGAAGGTGGACTGCGATGCTCACAAAGATCTGTGCTCTAGGTTTTCGATTAGCGGGTACCCGACGTTGAAGTTTTTCCCCAAGGGTTCTCTCACTCCTCAGGACTACCAAGGCGGCAGAACCCCGGATGACCTGATCGAGTTTGTGAACAGGGAGGCAGGCACCAATGCAAGGACGTCGAAACCCCCCTCCAATGTGGTGGTATTGACACCCTCCAACTTCGACGCGATTGCGCTGGATGCTAGCAAGAATGTGCTCGTCGAGTTCTATGCCCCATGGTGCGGCCACTGCAAGACTCTGGCTCCCATCTACGAGAGAGTCGCTAATGCCTTCGCTGCTGAGGATGGTGTGGTTATCGCCAAGGTGGATGCCGATGCACACAAGGATCTCGGCGGCAAGTACGGGGTCAGCGGGTTCCCTACCCTGAAATGGTTTGGTGCGGAGTCGAAGCATGGGGAAGACTATGAAGGGGGGAGAACGCTCGAGGATCTCGTCAAGTTTGTGAATGAGAAGGCGGGAACGAAGAGGAATGTTCATGGCGGACTCACCGCCGATGCGGGACTGGTACCCGAACTGGATGAGATTGCCAAGGAGTTCATGTCGGCGGACGACGAATCTGCAAAGGAGGGGCTGCTCAAGAAGGCGGAGGAAAGTGCCAGCAAACTCACAGGCGCAGCAGCTGCTCACGCTGAGATCTACTTGAAGGTGTTCAAGTCTGTGCTCAAGAAGGGAGCTGATTATGCGGTCAAGGAGGGAGAGAGGATTTCGCGAATCCTCAAGTCGAATGCTGTTGCCAAGGCCAAGGAGACGCAGCTCACTCTCAAGAAGAACATCCTCTCCTCCTTTGCTAGTTAAGAGCCTTCTGTTGTTAGATCGTCAGACTTATGGACCACATCTCAGTGCGATCTGAATGCTTGCCAGATTGCTGTTCTGGTGGTCCATACATGAATGATGCATCCAGCCGTTGATGGTCTCATGGCTCACGCATCCCCCCCCCCCCTCTCCTCTCTCTCTCTCTCTCTCTCTCTCTCTCTCTCTCTCTCTCTCTCTCTCTCTCTCTCTCTCTCTCTCTCTCTCTCTCTCNTCTCTCTCTCTCTCTCTCTCTCTCTCTCTCTCTCTCTCTCTCTCTCTCTCTCTCTCTCTCTCTCTCTCTCTTGCTTGCTTGCTCGCTGTGTGTTGTAGTGTTTGAAGGAAAGCGAAGAGGAAGATCTCATGCCTCTTGCGTTGGCAGTGAAGAGGCTGTGCGGTGGTAGGATTAGGTTGGTTTGCGTACTTAGTCTGTCTTGTTGGAGATGGGGTTTTGCTGAGTAAAGCATATCCCTCTCGTTCGTTTTTCGTGTCTGCGACGCTATGGAGAGAAAATTGTTCAAGGTCGTTGTAGTCTTTGCTGTCCTGTCTTATCTCTCCTCTATTCCCCACTCAGTGGAACAATGCCTCTGGTTTCTTTGCACAATTTGCCACGGCCCAACCAACCACGTTCCTCTGCTTTTCATCACAACGATGGTGACCTTGCGGCCGAGTAAGCAACCGCTTGCTGTGCATCTTTCTGCAGGATAACCTTTTTTTCTTCTTCTTTTTCCTTTCAAGTATATTCCCTTGTGCAGGGCAAATGCCAATGTTCTCTGTATTGTTCCAATTTTAACAGATGCCCTGAAGGGCGACACCGATACCCATCACGTTTCTTCCATTTTTTGATCCTGTGGCCGATCTCTCAATGGCCCAGAGAATTGACGAAAGCCAGAACTTGTGAATGTCACTTGGCTGGTGTTGTGGTTCGGGTGTTTTTCAACGGAGGTTGATGGTCTGCATGCTAGTCGACCGCTGTCACGAGCATTTATGGGGGGGGGCCTTGGTTGCTGGACTTACCTTGCTTCGTTTTGCTTTGCTATGCCTTATGGGGGGGGGCCTTGGTTGCCGGACTTACCTTGCTTCGTTTTGCTTTGCTATGCCTTCATCCCCATAGTACGATGCAAACGGTGGTGATTTGCATTGATGCACTTTTGCAGCGCTATCATTTGTCCCCGAACACCTTGTGTGCCCGCGTTATGCCTGTACTGGACTGGAAACACAGCATGCTGATACATTCAATATCAGGGTGCGTTATGTGGGGGGGAAGATGGTAGTTAGTGCTGAACTCCCTGTCGTGTGGCTCTGGCATGCCTTCCTGCCCGCCTCTCCCTCCTCAGTTGTCCCCTAACACCCTTGTAACCATAGTGTGTACGGTGTTTTGGAACAAGCAAGCAGAGATTATATTTATCAGCAATATAGCTAGCTGTGGAGGAGTGAAGTAGAAGGAAAAGAAGAGAGGATCAATAGTCGATGATAGTTGTGATCGACTGCAACAACGCCCTGCTACCTTCTTGCCCCAAACGCTGTGCGTGGTCATTATCGCTGTATTTAGTGCTACTTGTTTCAGGCCAGACAGATGCACAGGTAAAATGACCGGGCATTATAATATTCTGGGGACGAAGCATGGTAACCCCGGACCCGGACACCGGACACTTCCGGACTGTCTTTTGGACCAGTGTCTGGGCCGGACCGGACTGTCCGGTGATCCGGACCGGCCCCCGGGGTGCAAAAATTGTCCGGACCTAAAAAAAAAAAAAGGAAAAAAAAARGGGGGGGGGGGGGGGGTTGGGTGGGGGTGTTGGCATGCACTTATCTGCTTTGCACTCTGTAGTTTAGGCAGCAGAGCACGTGTCGTGCTGCAAATCAACCAGCACATTTAACTAGCAGACATGCAGAGTTGCAAACAGTGCAAAGCAGGCACAAGACTAAAGAAACAGAGAATTTTTAAGAAACAGCAAATCAATGTTTTTTTTGAAAAAAGTATGATTAACTTTTTGAACTTTGAACTTTGGATTTAGTAATTTAAGTTCATAACTTCATATGTAACTTAAAAGTTCGAACTTTGCGGTTCAATTCAGAACGTCAGAGTCTTCAGACTGGTAGCACTGTCAGTGCTCTCTCTCTCTCTCTCTCTCTCTCTCTCTCCCCCAAATGCAGCAGCGGTGGGCACCACGTCGAAACGGCCACTTTGAAATTGCTCGGGCCTGTGCGAAACCCGCCACCTCAAAAACCTGCAGTGTCTTGTGTCTGGACCTCTAGGCCATGTCCGGTGGGGTGAAAGGACACTTAAAAATCACCCCTTTATTTTTCTAGAGGCGGCTAGGACCCGACAAACGTCCTGGACCGGCCCTTTTTTTTTTTTTTTTTTTGCCCCAGGGGCCTCCATCCGGACATAGGGACCAGACACCGGACACCGGACTGTGTGGAACCCCGTCCGGACGTCCGGGCGGTTACCATGGGACGAAGGGAGCAGTAGTTTAGCACCAGAAATCTGTCAGCCTACCTAGCGGCAGAACTAAGATGTTATTGATCTGGCTGCTGCTATTGGGCAGAGGTTTGCACAGCGCGCGCTATTGGTTGGATTCCATTAGTACATTGAAAGATGTTTCCGGTCTATAATGGAATTCAACCAACTTTGAGTTCTAGATACAACAATAAGGACCGTACGTTGTATTCGGGCGAGCGGGCGAGCACGGTAGCGGCGTATGTGTAGAAAGCTCTTTACACCACCAGTTCGCACGAAACCTAAATTGACGAACCAAAAGTAGAAAGCACTTTTCCGAGCCTGATTGCCACAGTGACAGGCTGGAAAGAAAAATCTCCGCCTTCCCCCTCCCTCCGAACCTGCGCCGTGCCGAATCACTGTTCATCTTGCCACGGTCACAGCGAATTGTGTTTTGCAGGTGTGTCCTTCTCCTTAGGCATGGTGAACGCATTTTGCACGCCACTGAACTTGTCCCATTTGCCTAATTTGCCAATATGGCACTCCTCGTACCTTCCTTTCAGACTTGTGAGAAGCACTTCTTTGTCCTTTAGAACAGCCTCATAGTTGTCATTTTCCAGGTGCACTTTCCGGAGTCCGTGTTCGAACAGAACAGGGCACTCCCCAGCCATGTTTCACTGGTGTTCCGGTGAAGTGGGGACAGTACAAGCCCTGCAAAGGACTGACCGATTCCAGCAACGTACTCGCTCAACAAACAGCCCGCCTGTGTTCTTGAGGCCAGGCTTACAACCAGACAGCCATTCAATGTGGACCTCTTCAGACACAACACCGGGCTTGCTGAGCCCTTCTATCGTGGAGTTACAAGCTCGGGATACTTCGCCTTTGGTGGTGAACGTGCCAGGAAACGGCACGTTCTTGGCGTTGAATAAGAAGGGGTTAATTGAACTTGATTCCGTAAAATTTCCCTCTTGACCGCTACATGCCCATTTACCTGGGGCAAGTTAAATCCTGCACTGACTTATTCAAAAGAGCTCGACCGTGCTGGATATCCCCCAAGATTTAGAGGTCGTGTGGACAAAACAATGTCCAGATGCATGTTGGATATCGTCAGAATGACAAGCTCAACCCGGCGGAGTCGTCTGAGAAAGGAGGCGGCGGCCTCAGTCTCCCTGTTTCCAGGTAAAGTCCAGTTTCGTCTTGACCCGGATAGAACGCCCGGTCGTTATCAATTTATCACACTGTATGTAGACTGAAAGTTGAGCCAAATACGGCTATAATGACCGGGCGTTCTATTCGGGTGAAGACCGTAGGTGGTTTGTCCATGGTTAGAGGAGAATAAGGCCTCACTACAGTACTCAACATTCTACATGTATTTGAGCTCATCAACGGGCCAGATGCATTTGGGCTGATCAAATATTTTGAATGTATCTCGAGCCCTTACAAAACTTCAGATACATTTTGAATGTTTTGCAGTGGAGCAAGGCACATACTCTTCAGCATATATAGTTGTGAGGAGAAGATTATCTATCTGCTAGGAAGTGCTGCCCTCATTTCCCAGTGGTGCCCTTCTTTTGTGATTGACTGACCAGATACATTGGGTTTCCCAGAGTCCTTTCCAGATGACAGCAGGTCTTCAAATAAAGCGACCGGTCATTATGGCTGTAGCGAGACTGAAAGATCAACCAAATACAGTTATGACGACCGGGCATCCTATTCCGGGGAAGACGGTGGCTTTGTTGGTGGTTTTGCCAAGGGGTTTTAGAACAGTGCAAGGCTCAAGGCCTCGGTAAGCCCTTTCTGGGCCCTGTATCAGCAAGTACGGCCGCCCTGAGTGAAGTCTGGCCTGACAAGTGATGAGAGGCCTATTTTTGTGTTTGACGCAACTGGGGGAAATTCAGGCAGTTACGCAGCGTCAGTTGGTTGAGTGAGCCCAGGCCCTTCCTATCAATATCTCGGGCCTCAGGCCCTTTTTCGAATGAATAGAAGGCAGGCCCTGGGCCAGACAGGCACAAACTGAACACAGCCCGCCTGGCAGTTGGACACGGGTAACCACCCCAGGCCCTGTGGAAGATTCCCTGGGACAGGGGCTCAGCCACTTGGGGCCTACTGGAAGCTTCTGGGGAGAGGCCCAGGCCAGCCAGGCAGTCCATGACTGACAGCCATATTCCATATAGGAAAGGGGATGGCCGCTGGCTGGACATTCTGCGCCAGCTGCTGGAGCGAGTGCCTACGTGCTCACGGGTGAGTAGGGTGTACGCAGGCAGCCATAGCCATGCTGGCCTGCACATTGCTGGATGGGGCGTATGGTGGTCTTCGGGTGCATGTGGCATCTGTGTGGAGGATCGAGGTTGTGAGTGAAGCGGGGACATACCTGGTGCTTGATACGAACGGCATTGGCCGAGATCTGCTCGTACTTCGGAACGCTGTTGACGTCACTGTCGGCATTGTAGATAGGCTAGAGAGGATCTGCTATAAGTAGTCTGGGAGCTGAGCGCGAGATATGGGGACGGCATTGGTTCATTGGTGATGATGAGGAGACTATTCCAACATTGTCATTTGTGATCTCTTCTGTGATCTTGTTTGCTGTAATTCGAGTTGCAATTCTGCTTTTGGTTCGCGAGGTCAAGACTATCTGGTTTCATATGTAGATGGTGCTTCCTTGCATTTTGGCGCTTGTCTTCTGCTGATGCGGTGCGGGTAGCGGGGGGAGCGACCATGGGTAGCGTGCAGTGAGGAGGGTGAAGGCAAGCAGGTGACCCAGGAGGTGAGGGGTATCGCCAGGAAGGCTGGTGTGGTGTTATTGGGTGTTTTGCCGTGTGATGAGAACTATCTTATGCACGATTGAAACAGCGGTATAATGCTGGTTGTGCCAAGGCAATGATTGGTCATCACAATCGACGTCAGATCATCTGGTGATAATATCTGTGGTTGGGGGCAGCTAGTTTGAGGTACGTTGCTCTTAACCTTATCTGCCCTCTTCAACGCTTCTTACCATGAGGATGTGTGTTCTGTCTTGAGAGTCCTCTCATGTGAGGAGTCGAGTGCGCTCAACCTTGAGAGTGGACATCGTTCACGTGGAGCAGCTGGAAGGAGAGGGCGTTGCCATCTAAAGGGCCCTGGACGAAGCACTGGGTCACAGTCACCATGCCAACCCACCGGGAGTAGAGCACACATGCTTTGCTGCTTTGTCCTTTGTCTGCCTGCTGTGCTATAGATGGGTTATGAGGGGCCGGCCAGCCCTACAGGGGAGACGAGAAACGGACGTCTTTAAATAAATACCGGCGGGTTACCTTCCATTGGCTGTGATCGTCGTCCGGTCTGCGACGTTAAATAATTCTTGAGGACGGTGGGGGTTGTCCTTAAACTGCCTCTTGATCAACCAATCGGTTGGTGTAAGGCTCGTAGCATGCGAGGGTAAAACTATTGCAGGGCTGGCCAGCTCAGCATCGGCTTGGGGCACAGGGGTGGGCTGTCAGGAACACTATCTGGATTGCTCAGGAACGCTGACGTCAAGTGACATCAAGAAAAACTGAGGGAGGGGTAGATTCCAGGTGATAAGTTTTTGTACAATTCCACTCTGCAAACAGCCACACAAATGATTCTATTTTTATTTTGATTAGTTAGATGTTACTTCCATTAACACATCTGACAGACAACATAGGTAGAACAAACTTTTTTTTCGCATCTGCTGTCTGTTTGTGAACTAGTCAAGTAAAATAGTTTTGTTTGTGTGAATCTGGACTTACCTGCTAAACCCAACTGTGTAT